GAAGCAGGCCGCCGAGTCTCTCTTCTCATTGCCCAAAAATCGGTCCATGGATTTATTGGCTGGGGATCCCGCCAGGTCGGTTCCGTCCCCGTCGGGCGCGCCCAGGATGCCGCCAAGCCTGCCACAGGAAAGATTTACCTCCCCGACCCCATCAACGACCCGACCCTAGTGCGAGGTGTCGGCACCAAGTTTGGCGCAGGCGAGGGCGAGCTCCAGGGCATGCTCTTTCTTCCTCCAGGCAAAGGCCAGACTGGCGCGAGTGTCGATATTTCTGAGATCATTAGCCCCGAGGAGGTCCGCGTGAAGCGGCCTTTCAAGGGCAAGCTGGCATTGTTCCAGCTTACGGGCCGCGATGACATTGACGCAGAGGGCAACTTCACCAAGAAGGACGTTCACGGCCCTGCGCCGGGCTACGAGGGTACCAAGTTCAAGCTTGCTCCCCACACCGACCAGACCAAGGTTTACGAAGCTGTCTTTTCTCGCCTCAGAAGTGGAGGATGCGTCGGCATCTTCCCAGAGGGTGGTAGCCATGACCGCACAGAACTGTTGCCCCTGAAGGCCGGTGTGGCCATCATGGCACTTGGAACATTGGCGGAAGACCCCAATTGCGGGCTCAAGATTGTTCCCGTGGGAATGAATTACTTCCACCCTCACAAATTCCGATCGCGCGCTGTCATCGAGTTCGGAACCCCCTTCGAGATCCCATCTCGTGTGGTCGAAAAGTACCGCAATAACCAGCGCCGTGAAGCCATCGGCCATGTCATTGATACAGTGTATCAGGCTCTGAACTCGGTGACCGTTTCGGCGCCTGACTATGACACTCTGATGCTGATCCAGGCGACCAGACGGCTATACAACCCCACTGGCAAAAAGCTTCCTCTCCCAATTGTTGTGGAGCTTAACAGGAGATTGGCGATGGGTTACGAGAAATACAAGGAGGATGAACGCATCAAGAAGCTGGTGAAGGATGTCAAGGATTACAACTCACAGCTCCGCTACCTCAATTTGAAGGATCATCAGGTCCAATACGCCCACTTGTCCATCTTCCATGTCCTCTTCCTTACCATATATCGTTCACTCAAACTCATCTTGCTGTTCTTCAGCACGGTACCGGGTCTCGCGCTTTTCGCTCCCGTCTTCGTCGCCACAAAGATCATCTCCATAAAAAAAGCGAAGGCCGCTCTGGCCGGCTCCACGGTCAAGATCCAGGGCCGAGATGTCATGGCAACTTGGAAAATTTTGGTAGCTTGCGGCTTCGCGCCAGCTCTGTATCACTTCTACTCCATCCTGCTCACTCTTAAAGTCTGGCACGACCGCTTCTGGGGCCATGTCCCTGAGTGGGTTCCTCTTTGGGTTGTGTACTTTGCCGTGTGGCCACTCATGATTGGTATCACGTTCGCATCACTACGCTTTGGCGAGGTTGGCATGGATATCTTCAAGTCTCTCCGTCCTCTGGTCCTCTGCTTGTCACCCTGGTCTGGTTTCAACATCCAAAAGCTGCGGCTTCGAAGGGAGGAGCTCAGCGCGGAGGTGACGGACTTGATCAACACCCTGGGACCAGAGATGTATCCCGATTTTGAAAAGGTTCGTCTGGTTCCAGACCCATACAAAACGGAATCGGCCGCCCCGTCGACCTTCACCTCGCCTCAATTTGCCTCGACATTCTCGCCATTCACACCCCAAATGTCATCGTTCTCGCCATATCAGTCATTTGGATGGAGAAGACGAGACAGCGAGGGAAGCAATGCTGGCGCAGAACCAGAGTCTCCTCCCACAACTACGCTGCTGCGGCGCAGCACGACGCAATCTAGCAGAGCACTACCCCGCCACGATTCCTTCAGCAACATTGGACAGGTCGGCTTCTTCTCCACACGGCCACCGTCCCGGTCTAGGTCGCGGTCGAACAGCAGCGGGGGTGGTTTCGGTTCAAGCGGCTTCCATATCAGCGGATTTACTGCACTCGACTCCACTGAAGGGTTTAATGAAGCTAGCCGTAAACTCAGAGAGGCAATGAAGGATCGCCGGAAGAAGTCTGACAAGGTGAAGATGGAGGCTGGCGCAGAGGAAGACAGCGAGAGTGAAGTTGAGAATGAGGAATACAACGAAGCAAGGAAGAAGAAGCTATAATGGCGTGGCTAGGATGCTGGGCTACTTCGTCTTGGGAAGCGAATTAATTCCTGTGATGTGTCGAGCGAACGACTTTTTCTGTTAATCTATCTTGTATATAATGCCCCATTTTGTTCTCCCTAAAACACATCCTCTTTGTCTCTGCGATACCAATCAATTCATTACTACCCTCTATCTTCACCGCATCATCTCCGTCATAACGACATATGATACGTAGACCAACGGCAACAATGCTATTGTGCGTATTTAGTAATAAAGTGGTTGCCGTACCCGACTTCGCCGGCGCGGAAATTGGAGAATCAGATAACGACGAAGTGATTGGCACCCCACACAAGGTGCGGAGAAAAAGAGACACAGGGGTGTTGTGTCTTTGCAAGTCTAATCGCCGTCTTTGGCGCCGGGGATTTCGAATCGTCGAATTGGCCGAGCCCCAGATTGCGTTGAGGACTCGGAGATACGCGGCGGAGGATGCTGACCATTGGCCATGACGCGGTTGGACCCCGGAAAGGACGAAAAGAGAAGCTGCAGGAAAAATATAAAACGTCGAGACGGCTGGCCTCATCCCAACTGACCCGCCGACCGAGTCCTGTGCTGTCTGACCTCTCTCCCTGCCGTTGCCGACTGAAGTCTCAAGCTGGAGCGTGCCGCTGACCGACCTTTATCAGATCCGGGCTGCACCTGCTATATCCACTTTACTCCACACGAGCGACTCGGACAGCGTCGGTCCAGCGTTTGAAATCCGTTGCCAATCGTAGTAATCTGATTTCACTTGGCCCTGGGGCGAGCTCCTCTGCTCCCCACTCACTCCCCGTCGCCGCTCTACGACGGTTCCTTTTTTTTTCTTTTTCCCTCTTCTTTCTTCTTTCCTTTTCATCATGACGGCAGACCCCGCAGTCCCCCCTCCCCCGACGCGGAAACCCCCCCTCAAGCAGAAGATGGCGCTGTCGCTGAAATCCATCGTCTCCTCCGTCTTCGGAGGCGCAGGTTCCGAGGGCGGCCCGGCCCCGATGGGCGCCTTGTTCGCCAAGACCGACCCGGCCATCGATGGCGACGCATGCCTCCACGATTGCGCCAGCTGCAGCGTCAAGTACCCGCGGGGCTTCAAGATCAACGAGGACGATGTCCTGTACGGGCATGTCAAGGCGTGGAGCACACATCTGCTTGTCGGCACGGGCAAGACCGACTGGGTCAGAGACGTGGCGGACGAGAAGGGCAGCGTGATGGAGGCCGTCTCCAAGGTGGCTTCGCCCACAAACGGGGTGAGTTATCCCCCCCCTTCCTCAACCATCCTTCGCCTGCACACCCGAGGTTGAGAGTGAACTTATGGGAGGGGCTTTGGAAACTGACCAACCGAAACAGAGGATGATGTTATCGGCATCCAACATCCCGACACCGCACAACACGGCCGACTACTCCGAACCGACGACGACCCTCCTCCTCCCCGCCTTCACCTACATCCACAACGTGACCCCCTCCAACGCCGGCAGCCTCATCGCAGAGGTCGTCAACCACGCGCCGACCACCACCTCCCCCCTGCAGCCCTTCTCCCTACCCACACCCCTCCCCGGCGACCTGGCGGCGAGCGCGTGCCCCCACAGCGCCGTCATCCTCCTGTGCAGCCAGCGCACGCGCGACGCCCGCTGCGGCCAGAGCGCCCCGCTGCTCAAGAAGGAGTTCGAGCGCCACCTGCGGCCCCTGGGCCTGTACCGCGACGCGCACGACGAGAGGCCCGGTGGCGTGGGCATCTACTTCATCAGCCACGTCGGCGGGCACGCCTACTCGGCCAACGTGATGGTGTACCGCCGGCCAAACGCGTTTGGGCAGGACGACGAGGCGGAGAAGGCAGAGCAGCAGAACGGCAGCAGCGACGGCGGTGACGTGGGCGCCGCGCAGTGCATCTGGCTCGCGAGGGTGATGCCGCAGGACTGCGAGAACCTGGTCAACTTCACGGTGTTGAAGGGGAAGGTGGTCAAGCCGGAGGACCAGCTGCGGGGAGGGTTCAACAGGTCGAAGGGGTTGATGAGCTGGTAGGGTGCATTAGGAGAGAAGCGAGTGCCATTTTCTTTCGTACCCTCTATTTTTTTTCTTTCCTTTCTTCGCATTCTTTCCTAGCACAAGGAAAAGATAGATCATAGATTTGGGTTGGTTATATTGGATTTCTAGTACATATGATACCACGAGGCTATCGGAACGGCTCAAGACATGGTCATGATTGTTGCATTGATCTGGAGCACGGGGAAGCGCATAGGGTATGAGGGCCAACGCGAGAACGGCGCATTACTATGAACCTATTTGGGCTGTGCGTATGGGATGGAAGATCCATGCGATAGAGCATAAATTAACTGAGAATGTAGCGCCAACTGTAGGAGAACAATATCAAAATGGGGTATGTTGCTCCATTCTCTGAGCTACGACGGTGGAACCAACCATATTAATAGTACACTCAGAAACCAGCTGAGTCGCATTATCACCAACCAACATGTCATTTATTTGGCTCAAGAATAGAAACAATTGACCTCGCTTGGCGGCTTCATAAAACCGGTTGGTAGTTGGCTGTGTTCGATCACGTCAGATATTTTCATATTTTCATGAGTTGTGGTTGGACTGTGGCACACCATTACACTCTTTGATTCTCGTGCTCATGTTCACCATAACGAGCATATAACATATATCACACTCAACTGGACGCCTGTGCGATCTGTGAGCTTCAGCTCCGCCGTCAATGTTGGCTGGGGATTGGTTGCCCGATTGGAAGAAGCTGCTTCTCATCTTTAAGCCTGCTCCCATATTAGGTACCTCACACGCACGACAGCCGGAGGAAGAGTTCTTCCAACTTGGGAAACAAGAAGTCAGAATAAAGCGTCATCTCGACTATGGCATGCTTCTTAAGCTTACCCGCCGAAAATCGGATTTCCATATATCAAGAGGTTTTCGGCGCAGGGCAGACCTTCTTCCTCTTCCCCGGCAGAGGCACCCAGGTCGATGCTCTTGCGCCTACCAAGCCCCGGAGATGGAGCGCGTTCCTCTTCACCAACCGCCTTATTTACAGCGAGGCCAGAGAAATCGTCTACGGCGCCAACCGCTTCGTCCTTGTAGACGTGACGTGCACACAGACTGAGCTATTGTACAACTTCCTCGGTGGGATCGGGCCTGCAAACGCCTCCCTGATCGCACACTTAGCTATCAGTTTCCCAGTGATGGACAGGGTAGAGGACCAGGAGAGGGGGTTTAAATTGAGGGGTGATGGCCTGCGCGCTTTGGAGCTTCTCCGAGAGCAGTGCACGAGTCTGAAGACGCTGGAAACTCAGATCCATCGCCAAAACTCTAGTGGTTTGACGGAAGAGAAGGACTGCGATCCGGAATTCGCTCGAGACGCGTTGCCTCGTATCGACCAGCAGCTGAGAGCCATCTCATCGTTGGACCGAGTTGTTGTAGAAGTCTATGAGAAGGCACTTATGCCTTCTGTGGAGAGTGCTATGCAGGACCTTGGCTGGACAGTCAAGTTGAATTTGTATACGCTCCTTGACCCTCCTTTGATATAGGCACGGAGTTCTACACAGTAGTAGGCAGAGATTAACCGAAGTGGCGAAGGATAGCACTTGACAAGATCACCGTTAAGATTAACATGCCCTCTACGTAGGAGCAGTACTATTTGCTGGGACGACTCATGGTCGGGCACGGGGCCAAGTGCCCTTAAAACAATAACTACAAACGCAGCATGAGTTGAGAAAGGCAGTGAGTACTTGGCTGTCACTACTTTTGTGCAGGTTTTAAATTCCAAGAGATCTCCTCTGCCGTAATGTCTTTTAGGCTCCTCTACAGAACTCATGAGTATCTTGTGGTCTTCGCCCATCTATTCTTTTCACAACCAAGTCTCACCTGCCTGCCGACATACATAACACTGAACGCATCATGCATGACGCGTGAGTCAAGATTTGACGTACAAGACTCCAACGATTTTGTGATACCTACGAAAAAAAAAAAGACGAAGGATTCCCTCATCTTACCTGTGGGTTACACATAGCCTTAGACATACAGGACTCCGACCCCTTTCCGCCAACTGCAGGCCACTTCCTTGCCACATGCATTAGGATGTGAGAGGAAGCGATCCATCCGCCAATGGGAGTGAGTATACTCTTATCTGGTTGATTCGTGACATGTATATGGCAGCGAAATCTTCGCACGGCTGCATTGTCTCCTGCGGGATGCCGCAGAGTGCTACTGCTGTACCTGCTCGGAGGGAGAAAACTGCAATCTCGCCCGGCCCGCTGCATGTATCTCCGGGTTCTTTTACCCTGATGTATCTGTATCTATTCGCAAATCCTGATCTTTTACTTTACTTGCTACGTTGCGCTGGCTTTGCGTCCCTCTGTCCCTCCCAACTTGCTCCCAAGGGACAACTCCCGTAGCTCCGTGTGTTGGGAGCCTTGTGCCGGGGCCTTCTTTTCGTTTTCACTGTTGTACCAATAACCGGGTGCTTATAAAGAATTTGAATCCCACCATTGCTATCCCACCTTCGATCTTCTTTCTCCTCAGACATCAAGCAATCTTGCCTGGAGGCTATCTTCTTCTTTTTTCCCAATCCTCGCTCATTTGGTTAGCACACATCAGCCATTTTGCCTGAAAAAGTTCCGACTTACAATATACTTCTTCTCTTACTCTTTTTCATCATCCTAAACATCAAACCAAGACCTCGAGTTGACCATGAAGCTGTCCGGAGCCTTCATCGTCCTGCTCGCGGCCTGGCCCATGGCCACCGCGGTCCCTTTCCGCATGGTGGACAAGCTGGCTCCCATCAGACGAGGTTAGCCACTACACATCACCCCTCAAGTCCATCTAATGTTTATCCCACTTTTACTTATACTCTGTTCAGAAGTAGGACCTCGCGCTCCCACCAAGGCGGATGGAACTAGCTTCCCCCTGGGCAATAGCACGACCATCGGTACGCGGCCGCTCGCCACAAACGGCAAGTATTTCTCTTACAGGATCCCTTTCGTTCGAGGAAACTAAATGTTGTTTCAGGTCTCTCAACCCGAACGAATCTCACAGTCAAGACCTAGGTTGGGAGCGCAACTTTGGGACTGGCTTCCCGGCTGTCTTTGCTTCTGTACTGAAGGAGGACATGGGAGTTAAGACCGAGCCTACGTTCCTTTCTGCTTTCGGAATGTTGTCTCGTGACGGTACTGTCCTTCTTGATCCTTGATTCGGGGGGTTGTTTCCGTTGGGAGGATAAGCCGTGTTGTTTTGGTCCAAGAAAAGTGTCCTTCAGACTATCTCATCCACTTTCGTATCGACTTGTAACAAAATACAACGCTGCCTCCCAAATGTGTTTCTTGTAGACTGCCGTGATATGTAGAAGAGTACTACTTGCTGAGAGTTGACACATAGGGAAAACGAAGCCTATAGGAATCACTGGTTCTCGGCGACATGAAGATGTGTTGTTTCTCTTTAGCTCTTAATCTGAGCTATATGTTTATTTAGTTTGTCTATTCTAATGCATCCGTTTCGCGGCTTTCCAAAATCCTCCTGTGCTAGTCGATGTGCATCTTGGCCGCATATCCCAAAAAGGTAAATAAAAATACAATCCTCGTATCCAAAAGTTTGAAAACAATATACCCATGATGACTCCTCGTAATGCGCCCGCTCCCAAATCAGATAAATATCAAAATATCAAAGAAGATCAACAAGGTTGCCGCCACCCATACGGTGGTGGTCCTCGAATGCGTACTCTCTTCGTGTATAAACATACCCCGTTAATATCCAACTCGTAAAAACATGTCGATATGCATGTACATCCTCAAATTCATTAGTGAAGCATCGTCATTTTCGTTTGCCAGCTTCGCTCATCTTGAGGTGTGCGAAGCCTAAATAGACTTGGAAGCAGGAATGGGCCACCCTGTTGCCAAGAACAGGTATCTTTGTACAACTGGGACTGCTCGTCTCGGAGACGACCGAGCCGGACACCAGTTTGATACGCTCCTCGAGAGGGCAAGAGGGGGAATTTACTCGTCGCTGCTACTGCTGCTGCCGCTGCTTCCACTGTGCGAGCCGTCTGTTTGCCTGCGGAACTGGTGCACAAGAGTCGCAATGCCAAAGGCGACACCGGCCAGGACCAAGAACAAGATGATGACAATGATGGCGATGACGTCGTTCTTCTTCATGGCTGCGGTCTGGGTATGGCGCCCGTGTATCGATGCACTTGTGCTGTCGTAGATTTGGCTCGATGGGCGTATATGCAAGCAAAGCTCTTGAGTGGGCTTTTCGAGGATCCAACGGCCCTTGTCTCGTGGGAAAGACTCAAACTAGCAAGCAGTTGGAATAGAGTTGTCTCGGGTAGGGAGGCCGGACTATGAGCAATGTGCAACAAAAGAAAACCTGGGTTCCATCCAGTCAGTACAATGCGCCGTGGGATATTGGGCAACAATGCCATTGTGTGTGTGTCGAATACGTACCAGCCAATAGACGGTCCTCTGGAGGGGAGTCGCGGAATGAGCCCGTGGTGGGGTGATGGATGTACGGTGTAGGAATAGGAATGCAGAAGACCACAAAGATGCGACAAGAACGGCCTCGTTCTTTGCTTCCTTTGATTGGATTCGGGAGAAAATGCACAGCTGGAATGGGTGGTATGTAGGTATGATGCGTGGGAAAGGCGGGAAGGTGGTTGCACGGCGGTTGCTGCCCACGACTTATAAGAGCTGTTGCCCCGCCACCCGTTTTTACGCCCAAGTCAATAAAATCGCAAGGCTGGGCGGGTGGCCGGGATCGACTGACCCGCCAACGCCCAGCGCCAGCATCAGGAACAGCAGAGAAAATTCTATAACCACGGGCTAGCAGGGGCCGGGTGGGCTTCCCAGGGATCTGATCATCGCTGAAACAAGCTTGCGCTGCCAATGGCCGTTGCTCGCCTGATGTCCAGGTTTGCGGATAGATGAGTCGTGGTTTCTCACTGCCGGACCAACCACCTCTTCGACTGCGCTAATGGATAGGTGCCAACGTCACCCGTATGGAGTTTCTGATGAATCTTCCCATACATTCCCTGGTCCTTTTTTTAGGATCCCTGTAATTGATACGAGTTGAGAGCACCAGCAGGTGATGAAATCCTTGTACTCCAAGCTCATTCATCTTGGGTCTTGTACTTTGAGATAGTGGGGCACGTCGAAAAAGAGCAGAGTAGGTATTTAGCAGTTGAAGGATCTTTGTGAGTCCAATGATATCAGAAATTCACTCTACAGACAATAAACACAATCGAAAAAACTCAGAACGGACGCCCCAGAACGACAGAAAATTGCGCGAAATAAAACCCCCAAAAATTCATTACTAGACTGCCGATGCTCCTTGGTCTTTGATCCATCCCAATTCAGTCGTCATTTTCGACCAAAGATTTGTTTTCCTCCCTGATAATTTTCACATGTCGTTCGTAGAATTGAAGCATCTAGAAAGCGTCAGTCGCAAACCCTACATAACGGGTTCCATGTATAACACCGGCTCACCTTCTGAGGACACTTCTTGTAGATGACTGATGTCTCATGCTTGGTCTTTTGCCCATTCTTCCAGTTCAGGTAGACGACCAGTTTCCCCCCGCCTTCCTCTTCACAGGCGTCGATATTCTCGATATCGTCTTCCCACGATCCAGATGGGGGCTGCCACTTCTTCTTCGTCACAGGCGGTTCCGTATCGGCGGGGTGAACTCCGTTCTTGCGCTGTCGTTTGGTGCCTGCGGGTTGGTCGCTACCAGGACGTCCGCGCTTCTTCGCTTTGGCTTTCTCAGTTTGGTCCAAAATCGCCTGTCGCCCGCCTACACCCGCAAAATAGTCCTGGAGAACTTCTGTTGCCTCTCTATTATGAGAATAATGTGAGATAGGAACTCTGGTAGACGGGATAGGAAATCATACGTGAGGTTGTCTTCAGGCTCCCATGTGAGGTCCTTTTTACTGTCGTAGCCTTCCCATTTTACCTGGAATCGGATGTTTCCCTTTTGCGCCAACGTTAGCAAGATGTCGTGCAAGTGGGCTGTTGAGGCACCATCCAAACCTACTTTGTTGTCCACCATATGGCCCAGGATCTTCTCCACGACAAACCTAAGTCGCCCTTTAGCTTTGTTGCATTGCGTGAGGAATCGGGCAATGCGCCACATACAACTCTTCTTCCTCGTCATCGTCATCTTCCTCTACATCGCCTTCATCTTCGAGCTCATCCTCGACTTTATCTGAGACTGAATCCTCTTTGGGAGCCTTGACATCTGACTTCCTGCGCGAGGTGGCGGCATTGTTGGTCTTCTCTGCGTCGTCCGAAGAGGGAGAGGGTGGACTAGGACGCGAGCGCATTTCGAAGTCGGCGTCGAAATCCGACTGCTCCTCGTCGCTAAGAGCTAGTTGACTTGGATTAGTCCCTTGAAACCTTTTAAAGATGTCGAAGATCATCATTGCCTGGTGTGTGGCATTCTTGACGCGGTGACGATTTTATAGACAGTCCACAGGTTGGCGAAAGCTTCAAAACCGCGGCGCGTGGGGTGCACTGGATGGCAGTAGGTTTGAGGATGAATTATTTAATTGGTTGGGTACACACCTGGAGGCATTGTCAATTTGGTTGTTCAGAGACGATTAGGACCAGGTGGAGAGATAAGAGATGTATGTAGTCGCGTTTAGCTGTACCACAGGCCTTCAAGTACATTTCGCACGGGTTGTCGCATATTCACAGGAGCGCGCGGGCGCGGACAGATGCCAGCAGCAGGCGCGACTGGCCAGCTCCCACCCTTACGTAATCGACACGTGATGCCTAACGCTCAGCTGGTGGCAGACCACTTTCTACGACGGCTAGAATGATACGGCAGTATAGAATGATTTGAATTGACAATTCTTAGTATATTGTCTCTTGAATATGTGACAATGACGGTCGCGGAATCCAAAATAAGCAGCATGTTCAAGTGTCTCAAAATCTAATGACATCCGGTTACGCTCTCCAAGGGTGTTGGATAGCATATCGCAACGGCACTAGGCTAAGCAAAACGGTCAACATATCAAAGGTAGGGAGTTTTGAAAATTTGAGCCTACTTGGATAATTCAAGCTTTAGGCAGCTGAAGGCCAATTGATTCCCCAGCCTACCTAGCCCGGGTAAGTTGATGTGTGCCGCAAACATTAAGCCCGCCATTTCTCTCAAGAAACCACTTCTTTCCATTAATCATGGCAGGAAACGAAAACGCAACAAGCATGGCGCCTAAACCTGCAGATATCTCAATTCCATCCACAGCCGCTCTTGAGTTCGAAGAGTTTTCTTTCATTGGTCCAGATGGCCATGCGTCATCTCGGCATGTTCAGCTTAAACACACGCAGGCATTCAACCTATAACTTCTCGAGAATTACAATGTAGAAGTGAAAGGCCTTCTCGGTATGTTCATTGCACTCTTCCGTGGCGAAAACATGCCACCAGAAGGCGAGCGTCCCTTCTTAGTTGCTGGCTATATCGCGATTTGGAAACCATGGCCGACTTGGGCGACGACAAGTGTGACTCTTGGCCTTTTTTTCGGCCGCGTTGGTTTTGCCCCGGCAGAATCTCCGGGCCATCTGGGCGAACAACTCTACCAGGAACTTGATTCAGGCATTCTCTCCTATGTTGAGGATGGCAAGTTGCTCTACCTCGCCGAAAAGGTCTTCATAGACTGTGAGGCAATACCCGTGCTTGGACAGATACTTGTCATAGAGTTACCGGAAGTCAGAGATGAAGACTTGGCGAAAGCCTCAAAACTCTTCGGCGCGCCATTGCAAATCTTCCATTTGAACTGGAGTTTCTCAATGGCTGTTATTGACGAAGTTAGGGCAGCTTCTCAGTATAATAGTCACATATGGAGTAGTATCAAACGGTATAAATTGACAAATTTAGTGAATTGCGTCTTTAGTACTTATCATTGGCCCCCAAATAATCTCACAATAAGCAGTATGATGTTGGAGTGTCTCAGATTTAATATCACCCAGTTGGCACCCCCCCTTCTATCGGACTGAGAACCCTTTCCTCTTTTCAAGGTTTGAGAGGTTACCTACTCAACATCTGCTGGCATTGTAGAGAAGTGGGCGCACATTATCAAGCTGCTCTCACTAACCTATTTATCGCACAGTATTTTGCCTCACACAGGCTGAGCAGAGTGAGAAGACGGTGCGTTAATGAGAAAAGGGGTCTGATTCAGCACTGAAGCCCCCAAGGGGCAGATGATTGATTAATTACGGTTTACCAAGGTCCCTAGCACGCAGCCCGACCAGGGGTCATGCATGTTGACAGATGGCCGATCGGGTGGCCGGTGCCTTATGAGAGCGTGGCCAGCCACTAATGGCTGGTAGCAGCCACAAGCCGCGCACTACTGTGAAACTAGCAGCTCTTTAGTGATTACTATCTGGAGGAACTTGTGGAAACTGTCAAGGCTGGATGGGAAAGGAGACGGTGGTTTTGCAGAGGCTGATTGGGCTCCGCGTCCGTGATGTGAGCCCGGGCTAGTGCTGCTAGGACCTGGTAGGGCCTCTGCGATTTCGGAAGCCCACGTATGCGTGCCGGTAGACAGCACTACGCAGCGCACCTCTCATCGCATCGATTGCACTGGCAAAATCGAACGGGGACCAAGCGTCGATCTCGCTTTAGAGCTATTGGAGCGGGGACGGTGAAATTATGCGCTACTTTGGGGCCAGCCAAGCGCCTTGGTGGGGTTTATGAATTCCCAGCCTTGAGCGGTAGTGAGAGAGAGAACCGTCTGTTAGGTTAGCACTTGGCCACGGGATTCTGTTAGGCTTCGCTTGCGATGCTGGAACAATCCGAATATTCGGCGGTAACTGGCCATTCAAGGAGCAAGGCCCCCCTTGTCGTGACATCGACCCATGAGAAGCGGCAAACTCGCCAGGAACAAGGGTTACCTGCGGCCCTTGCCATCGGTGGTGCTGTTTGTAGCATCCATGCCGCTATCCCCTGAGCTTTTGCTTGATCTTTCTGTCCACCTGACGATGGAGGCGTACTGTTGGGAGTGATTAGCCTTTGAGGCAGTGTAGTTCAGGGAGGAAATTTTGTAATCGGCTTTTCCCGTGATTCAATGTACTCAGGGGCTTGGATACCTGGGCAGGTGAACCATGATGGGAAAAAAAAGAGAGCAAAAATACGCGCAGATGTTGGATGATGGTAGCTGATGTCCTACAGCCTCGTCTTCCGACCACCATGTGCTCCACCTACACGCCCAGATACATCATAAGCATGGTAATAATAAGTCCCAAAGGAAAATAGTCGGGTAGCTGTTAGTTATACGCGAGGTGTTTGAAATCGGCTAGATGAAATATGCAAGGTGCTGCAGCAAAAGGGAGCTTGAAATGAACGGCTGGATTAGGTAGGCTGTGCTGATGTCGTCCTGTGTGCGTCAGACTTTGAGACAGAGACAGCTCTCTTCCCATCTGACACGAGCCAATTATCACCCGCTCGACTTTACTGAATGTCTAATCTGCCGCGTCTTATCTTCCTGCCAATTAAGTCGGGGGATGGGTGGCCCAGGAGTAGATCTCTCCCCTCCAGCCTGGCAATGGAGAGAACATGGAGGTGAGTAGGTAATTGGAATGGCCTCCTGCATGTCCTATGTGGATGCTGTGTATGGCATGGCACCGACTTACGCATAGGCAGACACTCTCCCTCTCTTTCTCTCTCTTTTGGGAGACATACAGAACGGCGAGGCACGTAGGAATTACATCAATGCCTATCACTGCCTATTGAGCAGAAGATAGCGTTTGGTCTTTAGACTCCCAGCGTAGCGGAGCACGGAAGGAATAGGGCCAATCCAGTGCCTCCCATAGGTGGTGAGGACCTGGTAGGGCAGCGGGCGGAACGAAGTCCAGCGTCCGAGTGGCCGATCAAATCCCCTGCGACGACGGGAAGGCTAGCACGGGCAGCCAATCTGGGGCAGCTCCAGCAGCCATTCAGGGGGACTAGGATTAAGGTCGTTTTCCCCTTTGGTGGGGCTGAGGCGGGGGGGTTGCATCCATCAGCCGCTGAATGGGCGCCGTTCCTCCCCACTAAGCCCCCAATCACTGTGGTACCACGCCCCCTGAGTGGAACTACCTCAAGCTGGGTCTTTGATTCTGTGTTCAGGGACGACTCGGAGCGAAGCAAAAAAAAAAAAAGCAACGAAAAAAAACCACCAGCTTGCCTCTCCTCTCTCTCCTCGTCCCATTGTCCGCTTCTTTCTTTTCCTCATTCACTCTCACCGTTCCCTTAATCTTTCCAACTCTCTCCCCTTCGGCTTTCGCTCTTTCAGGGGCAAGATTTTCTGGCCCTGTCCGAATTACCGTTCTCCCAATGCCGTGGACGTCGAGCTAAAGGAGTGCTGTACCCCCCTTTTAATACACGGACGGCAGCTCGGGGAGGTGTTTTGCTGCTTGCCGACCTCGCCAACCATACGCTCGTTATTCTTCAAACCCGTACAATCAGCTTCTGTCGCTCGTTTCCTATGCATATTGCTCTTTCTGCTCCATCCCAGGAGCTTCGAGATTTCTTTTTGGCCCATTCCTTGTTCTAATCATACCAATCTCTCCTTCTCCCGCCCCTCCTTGGCGCGTTTTCCTTACCTACCTCTTCTGACCTCCCTGTTACTCCCTATTATTTAATTCCGTCTTTCCCACAATGTCCGCTATGGAGGACAACAGCCAGAATGGAGATGCCAAGGGACCTAAATATAGTGCTCCCAAAGACAAAAGCTGCCCCTACTGTGGCCAGGCCTTCACCTCGTCGTCGCTCGGACGCCACCTCGACTTGTACATCAAAGAAAAGAACCCGAAACCGCCCGATGGACTTCATGATGTGGACGAGATCCGAAAGATGCGAGGAGGCATCACACGACGACAGCCTCGAGGCTCTCTCGGGGGCCGTCGAGAAGTGTCCACCCCTATTGGGACCCCCAAAGCTTCAAGCAGGAAAGAGAGCATGGCGCACGATAGGGATTCGTTCATGCCGTCCGGTATTCCAAAAGATGGCCAGTACGCAGTGGACACCAAGTTGAGCAAGTTCCCATTCGCCGGTGGACGATGGGAGGTGACGGGGGTGATGAACGACATTGGCGAGAATGGACACGAAATTGCCAAACGTCCAAGCATGCAGAGAAGCGTCAGTCGGCAGGCCCAGAAGGCCCAATTCGATGTGAAGCACAAGCTGTCCGATGCTATGGATACTGCAAGAGCTGCTGAGCTGGCTCTTCGAGAGCTCATCAGCTCTTGGCGGGCGGCGAAGTATGTATCCTATCCAATTGCAAACCCCCCTCCCCTTGTGTAACCATTGTGCTTACCCTCCTTACTTCAGACAGCAGTTCGACGCCAACACGATGCCCTTCGACTTCGACCCCCTATCGCTCGACTTTCCCGCGCTGACCCTGCAATGCCTCCAACCACCCCCAACTCTTTTCTCCTCCACACAACATCCCACGTCGACGTCGTGGTCGGTACAATGCCCCGGCCAACGCGAATTCGAGGCCCTCAAATCGTTCTTTGATGACGAGTTTCAAACATGGAAGATATCATGTGTCACAGCAACCACCGATGCCATGGATGAGCTCACTTATCCCATATCCAACGGTCCTTACCGAGATAAACGTGACGTGGTCAAGAAGGTGGAGAAGTCGGCAGATCATCTCGAGAAGCAGGTGAATGAACATCTTGAGTCAGCTTATGCTGTGTGGGAGAGTCTACCACCTCAGCGTCAAAATGAGCTGTGGATCTTGGAGCTGGCAAGGGGCGTAGGCAGAAAACACAAGGAGGCCGAGAAGATGAAGGAGCAGCAGCAGAAGTTACAGCAGGAGAATGCCAACCTCAAATCCCAAATCGACCAACTCAACCGACTACAACAGCCTCGCGAATTCAAGCTTTCCCCCCCAGGAACCATCCCATTCGACAAGGAGTTCATCACGCATGCCTACGAACAAGGATTGAAGGGACAATCAGTCATTGGGTTCAATTTGGAGGACCGCGACCTAGACCTCAGTACCTTGGTCGCTCGGTCAATCGAGCGTTGGAAGAATGTGGTGGTCTCCAGTCGTGTCGTTAGTGGAATGGGCTCTCAAAGGTCGCTGGATCAGACATCCGTAGATACAGACACCAACGGGAACTCGCAACCGTCACAATCAAGGTCTCAATCGCAAACACCTCAGCAGCAGACACAACCGCACCAACTTCCAAAGCGACTGTCCACAGCCAGTACCAATGGTGCCCTGAGTGAGAACACGGCTGCTTCAACCAACACGACAGCACCGCCTTCCGTAGAGGAGACCAGTGATCAAGATGCCGATGCCGAAATGGAGGACGATGACAGTTTTGCCATAATGAACCCCTCGCCCATTAAGCAACAGCCGCCGGTGCCACAGCCCATACAACAGCAAGCAACACAGCAGGCAACACTGGAAGTTCCCAGAACACGAGGGCCCATCCCCCAGCAACGAGCACTTCCTGACCAACGATTTCTGATGCAAAACGGCGCGGGAAGTCCCGTCGGCCGCACGGCGATGAACATGAGCCGGTCCATGCCCAACATGAACATGGCCATGCAGGCGAACGGGTTGCATGCTGATCTAGGCATGGCAATGCAGGGCATGCGGGCTGACGGCATGTACATGGAATAAATGGCGAAATCGAATAAAATGGATAAAAGGAAGATCGTTACCAACTACATATTTACGGTCATGTGGAATTCAACAAAACAAAAAAGAAGGAGGATATTTTCTGGATGGGCTTTTTTTTCCAGCGGACGCGTTGACATCTTTTGGGGGTTATGATCTCTCTCACATGTGGCCCCCCGTGGCTTTCATTTTTATTAGCTTTTCATGATGTGTTAATAGTCAGCTTGCTCAATAGTGGCCAACGACGCCTGCTTTTTTACAGAACCTATAGAAAT